TCTGATTTCCCGACACATCTTGTTCGCCTCCACGAGATTCTGACGTGTCTAACTTCTGCGGGCCTACAACTTAACTCCAAAAAGTGCCACTTCGCAGCACGAAAACTAACCATCTTGGGACATGTCATCACAAGAGACGGTGTTCTTCCGGATCCCGATAAGCTTCGGGCTGTCGCTGACTTCCCGTTGCCCACATCACTGAAAGCCCTAAGAAGTTTCGTCGGTCTCTGCTCCTACTTTCGTCGCTTCGTGCCCAACTTCGCGTCCATCATCGCACCTCTAACAAGTCTGCTCTCCAACAGCAAAGGTATATCTGCATGGTCACCTGCATGTGACGACGCATTTCGCCAGCTGCGCCGCCTGCTGACCTCAGCACCCATTCTTCGTCACTACGACCCCGCTGCTGCCACAGAAATTCACACCGATGCAAGTGGCATCGGTCTTGGTGCAGTTTTGGCACAACGGAAAGGCACCCAAGCCGAATACGTAGTCGCCTATGCAAGTCACGCTCTCAAGAAGGCTGAATTTAATTACTCCGTGACAGAGAAGGAGTGTTTGGCCATAATCTGGGCATTGACGATGTTTCGCCCGTACTTTTACGGCCGCCCTTTCGACGTGGTCACAGACCACCACGCTCTATGTTGGCTGTCCACATTGAAAGACCCGTCCGGACGCCTGGGACGTTGGGCACTTCGATTGCAAGAATACGACATCCGTGTAGTATATCGTTCCGGTCGCAAGCATGCAGATGCCGATGCACTTTCGCGATCGCCTTTAACCCCAGATGTGGCTTCTCTGTCACCACTTTTTACCACCTTGTCACCAATAGACACCACTGACATGCTTTCGGAGCAGCGTAAAGATCCATACCTTGCATTGTTACTCGACTACCTTACCGATCCGTCTGCTGTCCCTTCCACGAGAGCGCTGCGCCGACAAGCAGCCCACTTTTCCGTGCGAGACAGCATTCTGTACCGCCGCAACTACATGCCTGGTGGTCGGAAGTGGCTCCTTGCTGTCCCAACTCATATGCGCTCTGACATCTGCATGAATTTCCATGCAGACCCTCAAAGTGCTCACGCAGGTGTCCTGAAAACCTACGAAAGGCTGCGCCAACGATATTACTGGCGAGGAATGTATCGCTTTGGGCAGAAATACGTTCAGTCTTGCACCACTTGCCAACAGAACAAGACACCTCCGCGGCACCTTACTGGCATGTTACAGCCGCTCCCATGCCCGGCTCGCCCATTCGACCGCGTGGGTATCGATCTCTATGGCCCCCTCCCATATAGTCGCTCTGGAAACCGGTGGATTATTGTCGGCGTCGATCATCTGACACGCTACGCTGAGACTGCAGCTCTACCAGCAGCGACCGCCCACGAAGTTGCACTCTTCATTCTCCGCAGCTTCATTCTCCGCCATGGGGCTCCACGGGAATTACTCAGTGATAGGGGTCGAGTGTTCCTGTCGGAGGTCATCCAAGCTATTCTCGCTGAATGCAACATCATCCACCGGAAATCTACCGCATACCATCCACAGACGAATGGTCTCACTGAACGGTTCAACCGCACACTTGGCGACATGCTGAGGATGTACACCTCCTCCGACCACACTAACTGGGACGCTGTCTTGCCTTTTGTTACCTTCGCTTACAACACCGCGACGCAAGCGACTACCGGTTTTTCCCCGTTCTTTCTGTTGTACGGCCGCGAACCATCCCACCCACTCGACACCATACTCCCGTACCGCCCTGATGTATCGGACTGCTCCCCGCTTTCGGAAGTCGCCAGATACGCTGAAGACTTCCGTCAGTTGGCTCGGTCTATGACAAGTGAGGCTCAAGGTCTACAAAAAACCCGACATGATGACGCTCATCACATAGCGCCTACGTTTCGTACTGGCTCCCTCGTGTGGCTTTGGGTGCCCCCGCACGTTCCTGGCCTGTCTTCTAAACTTCTGGCCCGGTACCATGGTCCATACCGTGTCAGTGACGCAACCTCACCAGTGAATTACATCGTCGAGCCCCTAACACAATCGCCAGATTTGCGCCGTCGAGGACGCGAGACCGTACACGTCGACCGTCTCAAGCCCTACTACGACCCCCTCATTGTGCCTACTCCCTGAGTCGCCAGGATGGCTACTGTTCAACCCGGGGGGTATTGTAGTGAAGCATACGCACTAACGTGTATGCGCCTTCCAAACAGAAGGAAAAACCCCGTGCTCTGATTGCACGAGAACCTGGGCCGCCTTTTGCCAGACTTGTCGTACGGCCATTTTTCGTTGCGACATCGTTGCGACTTCTCCGGTTCAATAAACGTCATCACACTGTCTCGTACCATTTGCCTCAGAATAGAAAATTCTTTCTTTATGTGCGGACATTTTTTCGAAGAAGCCTTGTGAGCACCCTGACAGTTAGGACACTTCAGTGTGGTAGCGCTACAGTTGTCATCCGCGTGTGGTTCGGCGCACCGGGGGCACGCTGCGGAGCTCCTGCAAACACCCTTTACATGACCGATCTTCTGACAATTGAAGCATTGCACGGGTTTAGGAATGAACGGTCGAACTTGTTGACGAAAGTGGCCAACCTTCACGTATGCGGGAAGACAGTCACCTTTGAACGTTACTCTCACACAGCGTGTGTTTCCAAGCCGTCCAACGCTGACAATGACGTTGTCTTGACTCGCTGGTTTTATAAGTATAGAAAGGTCTGCGTTTGGGATTTCCGTGTTAATGTCGTAAATGACTCCTGATGTGGTCGCACCATCGGCTGGTATGATGGACCTAACTGCAATGTTTCCCAGTTGTGTTACTTGTTGCACCGTGCTCAGCGCACTCGGGTGCCGCACATCGAAAGCCAGGATGTTTCTTCTTGTATTAAGCCGTAGGTCTTTAATCTCGTTCGGCACAGTGTTCTCAAAATAGAGCGAAAGTGATTGCCTGTTCAGAACACGCAGACTTTCGGTAGCATTCTTTGGCACAAACAGGATGGAATGGGGCCATCGCTGGGGAGCTGTTTTCACGGTGGCTGTACTTGACACCGGCGATGGATTGATGATCTGTCGCTTGGCCTTGCGGTGCAGGACAGGTTGAAAGCCGTCGTCTGAGGACTCGTCGCAAGATGCGGAGTACAGCTCAGTGTCATCGCTCTCACTGGATGTGTTTCCTCGCTTCCTCGAGGTAGTGGCCGCGGTCGAACGTTGCCTCGTGAGGTTGTACATCCATTACCGCAACCTACGGGGTTGCGAAGAAGAAGAAGAAGAAGGGTTCCGGCTGAGAAGAATCACTTCGTCTTCCTTCTCAGCCGGTGTGCGCAATTTCTACAATAAAAGCAAGCAAGCTTATTAAAAAAAGAAAAAAATAACTTAAATACAAGAAAGATAGGGAGCTTAATGTTACCCTACACGTGGGGAGAGGGGAATAGGACAGAAAAGAGAGCGAGAAGGAGGAAAGAAGATACATATTGCACACAACATACAGAGTGCAGGGTTTTACAGGTGGTCGCTTCGAGATGTTGCCTTAAAGTACTCCAGGAGGGCTCGCGCGGCTTTCTGCGCTGATGTTCTGTGAGACCAGGCTCTCGAAATTTATTCTTTATCATTTGGCTGAAAATCCAGACTTGAATGAACACTGCTGAGTCTGGTGATTTTGTTCAAAGTTGAGACTATGGCACAGGACACGGTCGTAACTTTCAACACAGTCGCAGTTTTCGTTATTGGGGGAGCCTACCCAGGGCCGTAATCGTAATGTGGCACACCGGACTGGAACCCTTCCACCTCGAATTGTATTCAGCATGGCATACAGGGCGAAATATTGCCATTTCAAGGGGGCGCCGCCCCGAAATAAAGGAGCCCCCTCCCCCTAAAAAGATGTTTGCCTAGGCCCTTATATCAGCCGTTCCTATACTTACTATAAAATAGTACATTCGCCCTTCTTACATCAAACCTGTTTTTATTTTAAAAAACGAGACAGTTGTTTACGAGAATGCGGGTGTTTCACGTCATCGGCAGGTTTGAACAGGCGATGTCTCTACATCCTTCTTTTTTACAAAAGAATCAGTCTTCTTCATGGCAGCTGTCCCCTTTCTTAGCCTCATTTGTTTTACTACGCCTCGCTCGCTATGCGCCACCATTCAAGGTGGAAGAGGAGGAAATTATGCTTGCGAGCATATTAAAGAGAGAATGGGAATCACGGAGTCCTGGTCACAAAGCCTCGCATTTTTACCCGAGTTCAAGAAACAAAGGTTGGTGTGAAAAAGGGCAATCGGTGCTTTAAAAATAAATTACAAATGATTGTGCAGAGTGGGTACGAAGAAGATTATTTCTTTTCTCGGTTAGATACAGTGATACTTTGTAAAAGGGAAAAGTAAAATGAACATCTTCGAGCTTCTGTGGTTGGGCCTTATGTTCACGGCCCTCCTAACCTTAACTCGGACTCATGGTTCAAGTCTTTGTTTGAACACGGTGGCCATACCGTGCAGCGTCATGGTCATAATAGGATGAAACAAATGCTGTACAACCTCTCCTTGCATGAAATACCTCTCTTCCTGGGCTGGAAATATCAGCAACAGAGAGCGCATAAAATTTCATGGTACAAACGTTCTTTCAAACTCCACCTAAAGGTCAGTCCTAATTGTGCCTGGTAAGCAGTATGACCGACACCGATTAGAAGTTTGAAATACCTTTTTCGAAGCAGCACTTGATTCCACTCTTCAATTATTTATTGGAGAGAAGAGCAAGCAAGGCGTGCATAAATATGCTGATAAATAACGCTCCTGCTTCCCGTAGGAAGCTAATTCATACTCCATATCAAAACGTACGCTGAGAGGCATTTAGGGCTATCATCGATTCGGTGAGGGGTTTCCCAAGGACGTGTTAGCGGAGAACTTCAGCACACTAAGTAACGTGACTCTTCTCTAAGTAATCAATAGAATATCAAAGAACTAACAGGGCTCTTATTATGCTTTTGCAGACTCACGACGAATTGTACAAACACAAGATAGCATGGACCCGCTGCTTTATCCCTCCATCGAAGGGTTCTGCATACCAAGAGCGTTCAACGAAAACAACTTTCGCTCTGCGATTGGCTACAAGGCACGCGAAGGAGACATCTTTATCGTCACTTACCCAAAATGTGGGACCACATGGACTCAATACATCGTGTGCAACATTCTGACTCGTGGAAACCCGCCATCTGAAATTGACGACTACGATCTCATGACGCCGTTCCTTGACGCCAAGGGAGCCGAGGCTACGGAGAATCGCCTCGGAGCAGGCCCCATCGTGACGCACCTGCCAAGTGGTGTGCTTCAACCAAGCGACTGCGCCAAGTACATTTACGTCGCTCGAAATCCGTATGACTGCGCTGTTTCTTATTACTATTTCCTCAGAGGATTCACACCAAACGCTTTCCCGGATTTCGGCACCTTCTTGGACACGTTCCTATCTGGAGAGGTAAGCAGTCCATGTTGCCTGCACTTCGCAATTAGGTCAGCACTCCTTGCTTTCATTTCTCGTTCATATACAATACAGATAACCTGACAGCATCAAGGGTGTGCGCTGCCTGCATTAGTGTTACACGAACAAACTGCACGAGTTTGAGTACACGGCCACATCATCCCTGCAGTCTATAGGACGGAGCCCCGCACCATTCGTATTAAGACATACAGCAATACATATTAGGAGTTGCAATCTGATGCCACATGATAAAGAATCAAAAAGCTTCGTGGCGTAAATCTTAAGACACCAAGGGAAGTAATAACAGCTAGCATTTGTTTTGCACCACTCTTGTATTAGATTCATCTGCCATTTCCCTGTCTCTAGAATACATAGTGCCTCCCATGTGCGTCATGGCTTTGTAAGGTAACTCTGTTGACTTCGTCAAATGTCCTCGCGTTCACTTTACTTTTGAGCCAGTCGCGTCAAATTCGTTATTTCGACATATCGGCAGACATAAATAAATCATAAATAGGCTGGCATAGCGTCATATCCACTCTATCGTAACAAAACCGTGAAACCAGGGCGATACAAAAAAAGGAGATGATCAACCGAGCATGGCTATTGCTTAGTAATTGCCTAGGAGCGCTTACCTTTTCGTTTTCTTCTTGCCCAAGTGACTTGAAGTGATTTTCGAGTCACCGTTTTGTTTATTTTGTGATCAAGTTCCATACGGTGATTACTTCGACCACTTGTTGTCCTGGTATGAGCATCGACAAGATTTCAACGTCCTGTTCATAACTTACGAAGACCTAAAGGCAGACTAGCACGGCACAGCTTCTCAGGATCGCCGATTTCCTTGGCGAAGAGTATGCAACAGAACTTCGTCAAGACGAAGCACTGCTCCAGGGCATCATCGCCGCTTGTCGCCTGGAGAGGATGAAGGCGTTCATCAAGTACAGCCCAGTCGACAGATTTCGGTCAAACAATTGCGAAACAGGAGTGGTCAGCGGGCAGTCTCCGAACTTTGTCAACGTTGCCACAGTGATGAAGGGTCCCGTCTCTGAAGTACCGTCTGCCTTTTTAAGAAAAGGAATTGTGGGAGACAGGAAAAATCACTTTACCAGTGAACAACTGCAAAAAACTAAAGCCTGGATATCTGAAAAGACTGCTGGTAGCGATGTAATGAGCCTGTGGAAGGCAAATATTCTCCCTAAGTGTATAATTAAAGAACTTGCGTAGAAGTTAATGGTAAATAAGCTTCCATTCCTTCTTTTAAAGCGAATTCGTTCTGCTTGCTGTTATGAAGGTTGCACTGTTATGTGGTGCTTCTCAACAATAGGAAAACAACGGTACCTGCTATTTGTATAAAGCTGATATTTAGTTCGATGAAATGAGAGTTAAATGAACAGGGTGGATATGGGGGATGCAGGGAACATTGCTGGTGGTCTTCAAAATTAGTGTGAAAACATCTAATGAGGTTGCTTGCTTAACTTGGTTTGACATACTTCACCTAAAGACAACGCAAACAGTACTAAATATGACATACACACATAGGGAATGCAAGTGGAAGGAAAATACTGCTGCTTGTAGAGACGCGATTTTACAAGCTACGGATAAAGCAACTCATACTCGACCAATGAACTGCCACGCCGCGGTGGTCTAGTGGCTAAGGTACTCGCCTGCTGACCCTAGGGTCACGGGTTCGAATCCCGACTGCGGCGGCTGCATTTCCGATGGAGGCGGAAATGTTGTAGGCCCGTGTGCTCAGATATTGTGTGCACGTTAAAGAACCCCAGGTGGTCGAAATTTCCGGAGTCCTCCACTACGGCGTCTCTCATATTCATATGGTGGTTTTGAGACGTTAAACCCCACATATCAATACTCGATCAACGAGCGTTGGTGGTAGTCTTGAAGCTGTCCATTTCATTTTGTATTTTCTTGCATATAAAGCTGAAACTGTTTGCTAGGGGTGCTCGTAACTCATCCGAAGGCTTGCTCGGCGTTGTCCGAAGGCCATAAGTTTGGTCTATTCCGGTGGAAAGACTGCTTTTTGCTACACTTAGATTCAATTTCGTTTTGGTCATTTCGAGCAGCTCTGTGCAGTGGCTGGACCAGCCCCTATAACTGCCCGCAAGCAACTGAAAATGTGCTCGTCTTGAAGCTTATGTTCTCCAATAACTTACGCTGTTAGAGCATCACCCCGCCTGGCGGAATTGCCGACTGTCAAACAAAAAAAAAAACAGGAACTTTCATGACGAACTTCGTGTGGCATAAATGCATGGAAACAGTGATTGAAAAGAGCAGAAGAAAATAGGTATCAAGGTAGGGCAAGTCAAGTTAACCAGGGGGGCATGTGTCACTGTTTGGGCATGCCAACGTATGCCACCTGTGTCTGCGTTAAAAAGATATCTCGGCTTTTTCATTTACAAAGTGGAATTGGGAAGGTTGTCCCTGCACCCTCCCAAAGCGCTCTTTATTATTCTGCGTGGTGTCAAGACTTTCCAAATGAGAATTTCCTGCTGGGCCATAAACTATGCTTCTGTTATCCAGATAGTTTTGAACCACACTGGTATATTCTCTAACAGGAGGGCAATAAACGATATCAGATGGAGGTAAATCTCCGGCAGCCACATAAACGCCCAGAGGCTTGATCACCTCACGTGATGCACCATGGCATCACCCGTAGGCCCGCACTGTGAACTTACATAGAAGCCACTTGGAGACGGCCAAGGGAGAGGACCGTCTGTCTCGAGCATGGTCTACACGCTATGTATCACTCATTCTCACTGGCTTCGCGGTCTCGCATGCCCTGCCTTTTACAAGAGTGGAAGCTTGGGCTAGTTGGTGTGTAGTCATAATTGCAATTTTTTTAGTGTGCGTACATAGAAAAAAAAGAGAAAGCGTGTACGGAAAGAGCGCTCTTTCTGCCTACCCTGTCCCTTTTATTCTATGTTCGTGCGCGGAAAAATAACTTGGAAATATGCCTTTTTACGCCTGCATTGTGCCACGATTGTTGTGTATTGTTCTGCGAAGCCTACGTCAGCCTTCCTTCAATCGGGAATCGTACATATAGCCGATACCCGCAGTGAAAGAATCACGAAATAGTGGCAACGACAATACGCACAAGTAATTCCTTACCTAATTCTGCACTTATGAGATTTAAATCAGCTCCCTACTTGTTTTTTTTTGGCACTAGTCTTTCAGGTAATAATCCCACTATGTCCTTCATTATCTACTTTTTTCGGTTGAAGAAAGTGGAATAGGTAAAGATGAGCATAAAAAGGCTCTGGTCACCAACATCCCGCCAGACTCACACGATTCAACAACTTCGAGATCAACGGCCACCTCGTCCGTGACGAGCTGGACGTGACGAGGTGGGCATTGTTAACAAGAATACTGATCTGGAATATTTGCTGCTTTCGCAAAATCCTCATGCGCTCTTGATAACAAAATCTTGGATGCATTGTCGTATACATACTGATGTAATAATTCTCCCTTGATATAAAATGTTATAAAAATGGTAGCATATCTACGGGGTGAATGATGGAGAGTGGGACGAAGCATCTGTTCGTCCATTCGTTCTTGCTTCCGTCCGTACATGCGTTCGCCTGCGTAACCATCCGTGCGTCCATCCGCCCGTGCGTGCTAGCGTGTGTTCGTGCGTCCATCCATGCGTCCGTCCCTGCGTTCGTCCATGCTTCCACCCCTGCATCCGTCCATGCGTCCATCCGTCCGCGCAGCCATCTGGGCGACTGTCTATGCATGTCTTTGTGCCCCTTCGTCTATCTAGTCAACACTCCAAGTACCACGATCTCGTCTCTTTTCTTCATCATATATTCCGCATATATAAGCACCGCCATCCAGCGGACATTCCAAGGACTAAACGAGAGGTGGCACAGGCACACTTTCTGACGGCTTGCGCTTCGTGTCTACTTCCCACCTTTAACCACCTCGAGTTCATGGTATATACTAGTTCACTGTATTCATGGCACTGCGGCCCAACGCTCGCTAAACCTTTCTAAAACCAAGTAGGTTACGCCCAGCGAGTGTAACGTAGCAACCCTTTCTTGTCAGATAGTGCTCATTGTACATGTCAATGGCTGCTAATGGGGAATGAGAGACAGGAGAATTCGGCTTTTAGTTAACGCGCACGCTGCGAATTTTTTATTGTTCAACAACCCACAGGAGAAATCTCCCACCGGCACCACCTTGCAGGTCAAAGTGTAAGACATGTTACGCACTACTACGAGGGACGAACGGGTGCCGCTTTAAGGAGCTTCACCCCTAAAAAGACGGAGATTTGCATGGCGGGGCGTGTGCATATTATTAAAAAAAATCTGTTCCCGCGTTCATAATAGACTGTGACTCTCCGAAAACATTGGTATAGGATTACGTTTGCGAAGTTTGCTGATCTAGTTGGTGCGATATGTCACCCACCTTCGACTTTCTGTGACTTTCTACACCGGTTAAACACACTCTTGTTCACCAATGTACACACGTCTAAATATGACTAGGGACTTCATCTTATCGTAAATAACAGGCAGTACCCTAGTTATACAATGGCATTCAAAAGTCTCGCGCAGATAAAGTATTAGTTATAACGCTTTCTTTTACTCTAATAATATTTCACAAATATAGAAAATAACTTCTACGTCACAGTCATTGTTATATCTGGTGTTTCTATCCAACAATATCGAGGAATATTCGTGTTCAATTGAGGACAGTATTTCTGACCAGAAAACGATTGTAGTAGAATGTGACTGGTAGCATTACGTCGTACAGAAAAAAGGCTATTACAATAACAATAAAATCTATAAAAATGCTGATGACACTTCAGTTGTAGATTTCTTGAAATTCTCAGTTTCGCCTTTTAGATCAACACGCAAACAAAGAAACGTATATGTGAGTTGTTGAATGAATTCAAGCCTATAGTAAACCATTCCATGGAGCCTTTTGTGCCATCACGTGTGAAAAAAAAAATCTTAGCGACGCCGACCTTAGATTAACCTCGCTATTACTCAAACAAAAATGAAGCTAAAACCGCTCCGCAAAAAAAAAAGGGCTCTAACGAAATATCCAGACTTCTCCCTGAATGTAGGCGTACTCTGACGCTAAACTAAAAGCAGTTCTTTGACAAAACACAGACTGAATTTTAAAACTTCACCAATAAACTTCTAGAGGTATCTTAGCTGTAGATAAGAAAAAATAGAAAAAATCGGAAATGATACACATGCTGTTGACATTGATAGGCATGCTGCCGACATTGCTGAGAATTTTACTTACTTTTTCTGTCTGTGTTGACCAACGATGGCCCCACTATGGTGGTCTAGTAGCTAAGGTACTCGGCTGCTGCCCGTAAGTCCCGGGATCGAATACCGGCTTTGGCGACTGCATTTGTGATGGAGGCGAAAATGCTGTAGGCCCGTGTGCGCTCAGATTTGGGTGCACGTGAAGAACCCCATGTGGTCGAAATTTCCGGAGCCCTTTATTACGGCGTCTCTCATGATCATATGGTGGTTTTGAGACGTTAAACCACACATATCAATCAATCCTTGTTTACCAACAATGCAAACACTAAAGTGGGCAAGCTCTCGGTCTATCGTACACGTCAACCAATGGAAGGACCCATAATCAAACGGGAAGGAGCGCTTGAACTCCTCCTGAATCCAGACGGTAAAGCATCTAGCGGGCCTCTCGTATAGCCTTGGCGTGCCTTGGATTGCGTAGCCAGACATCACTCTAAATGCACTCTGCTAAATTAGCCCGAGTCAATCTCCCCGAAGTGATTACCTGTGGCCACCTTTCAGGAACTTCGATGTGGCTGTGGAGTATTCGCAAGAAGGGTTTGAATTCGCCTATGAACTCGGCCGCTTATTTCCACTGGTGAAAAAAGTGGTTTATGTTATGTTTTACACTTACTGCCCTGATTTATGTTTCTACGCACCTGAGAATGCCTTACATCACTGTAATGGGAATGCTGCAGGTAACACGCATATATCTCATTTCTGTGTTTTTCAATTATCGTGCGCATAATTCAAAAAACACCCTGTATTAGCAGGCACATCACTACATAAGTCACAATACATAGTGAAGTAAGACTCGTACTTAGCGGTATACGCCTTATAGATCAAGGGTACCACTACCTTTTTGTGTCTCTGAAATATCGTGCCAATTCGTTTCTGTGCAAATTCCTAGGTTTGCTGCCGTAAATAGTAGTCGTGCAGCCTGACGAAAGGTATTTGTTACTTTCGAAAATATTTCCTTTAGCCGAGAGCTACTCTCAGAACTTCTGGGAAAAAAAGTGCGGCTTTCTACACGTCGATCCACAATCAACGACGAAAACGCACTTTAATTACCTGTTCTCAAGCCAGAAAATTTGGATGCATTAGCTCCATTATTGTCCTGTATTCATTCTCTTTCAGTTAAACAGACCCAGCTGTGGGTGGTATACATGTTTTTTTTTTTGCCACGTTGCAACCGATGATCGGCTTAGGAACGTATACGTAGCTTCTTCTATGAAATCCTGGTGTTCAGGCAGACAAATATTCAAAAACAGAATATTACAGGGACACCAAGCGCTCTGTACAGTGTTAACACAGAAGCATTAGAGAGACATCACGAAGATGCGTCGGTATACATTTGCTACTAGTGCAAATAGATTCCTTGGCAGCAGTTGCTTCTTCATAATTACAAAGCTCTTGTCAGGAAAAAACAAAGGCATCCTCATTGTCTGGCGTCATTGATTGTTAATTATCAACACAAAAAATTCCGGCGTGACTGATAGACTGGTTGAATTCAGGAAAGCAAAAAGCTTATGTTTTGCGAAGCCGTACTTAAATTAAGCCGGAAGACACGCACAAAACAGCAAGAAAATAGAATTTAGAAACTGGAGAAAATACGGCGACATTGCTTAGAGTGACTGGCAGCAGTCGCTGCCATGTGGGGGGTGAAGAAAAATATACGTGAATAAAAAATGCATAAAATAATGGAAAGAGAGCAAGCAACAAACAATCAGAACATGCCACTTCTTAAAATTCAGCTTGAAACTAGTTATCCGTAAAACACCCCACAACGCGTTTTGCGCCTTCTGTGCTGAGTGGTTTAGGACTGTTGAAGGAAGTAAAATGATAATGCTGCGTTTCCTTATTTCGGAAGGCTT